CGAGAGCTCTCCCTGTAGCTCCGAACATGCGAGGGCGAGACCAAACGTGAACGTGTTGGATCTGAGCTATCAGTCCACTGTTAGAAATGACGTCGCAGTTAACATCTGCGTCGACTGTACACGTGTTTGAGAGCACTAACCTGCCGACTATGAAGAGACCGTTGGAATCGATAGTCATTCTTTGTCGATAGGGCCATCCATAGAACACCTGCATCATTGTCGTATAACAATAATGCGTCTTCTGCATTCCAAGTTACGACCACGAAATACCACACATTGTCCCAAATGTTAACGAAAGTGGGCAGATCACTCACGTCGCTATCAGCATTGAGGTAAAGCTGATTGCCGAGCACTAACGGAACGGCAGGAGCTGTACTTGAAGTGCCTGGGTAAGAGTACAAACACGCATCGGAGTCTGTTCGAGTTGTTTTTGTCCACAGAGAACAGTAAATCCCTAAGAGAAAGCAATTAGCATTAATCATAATAAAGATGGTTAATATAGCCGTACCCATGTTGGAAAACCACGTACACCGTTCATACTGATAATATAGTCGTCTCCGCCCAGGTCTAAAACGTTGTAAGCATCCAACCCAGACGTAAGACCGCCATCAAGTTTGCAAGCATACGTACAAGCACCAGTAGGTGCTGCGAAATCGCACTTTTGGTCGTATTCAGCGTCTCCAAACAAGTCGTCAACTGCAAAAGCTCCGTTAGAATCGAGTCGTAAGGGACTCGCTCCATTAGTGACCATCTACCAGCCTTAAAGACCTTGTTCATTGTCAGCGAACCTGGTTTTAGCCAGAGCGACACCCTCATCGTAGTCATAAATACGAACAACAGTGTCTTTGGTGGTGCCCAGAGCTGCTCTTGACGTCTGCGAATCCATTGGAGTTAACGGTAGCGACTTGAAGTGAGGCAGGCCCCTTAACGTTATCGTCCAGGATGGTAAGTTCGATAAACTGTAGCGAATCTCCGATGTCGAAGCGTAGGTGGATGATCTTTAGCGTCTCATCGAACGTCATCGTGTCGGAGAACGCAAAGTCCTTCTGGTAGATAGCTGTTCCAGAAGCCAGAATTTTAACTGATATCGTCATAACTGAACTCGTTCCTTGCAGACGAATAACCGGTATCACAAGTGAAGCGGATCTCTTAGGAACACTGTAGATGCCTTTAACGAAAGAGAAGAGGCCACTTGTCTGGTATGCAAGAGCTTGAATGGCTACGTACGATAGAACACCAAATCTTTCTGTAGAGAATGCGCCGCTACAGGCTGGGTTTCACCGTAGTCACGCGCCGCTACAGGCTGGGGTGGTGGGAATCCAGTGCCAGAGGTTACGACCCGTATAAGCCTAAAGACTGCCAGTTCCACTAAAGCGGCATAAAGCAAATGCTCGATGCTCCGCCTTCCAACAACGTAGCCAAATGTCCAAGCATCACGTCCAACTACAGCTCGAACAGCGGCAAGTCGCTCGTACGTGCTCCAGCCTGGACAACTTGTGGCAAAAGGGGCTATTATTCGGGCTGCTGAGGTATATCATCTAAGAGCGAGAAAATACGCACTGGTACAGTGTGCCGTGTCTTTTGCTGTGTTTAGACGGCAACAGACGTATAAACAGT